TTCCTGCTTTTGTATATGAGTTTGGTGGCTTTGCTGACATCTAATGGCACTGGTACCCAATGGGGTGCCTCCATTTTGTCTCATGGATTTCATGTTTTGTTCTGTGTTCTGTGTTAGTGTTTCATTTGCAGCAGAGCTTTGACTTCCCAATTACTTATGAAAACCTTCTATTGATACTAATGTTTGTATTGAGCTATGGATGGTAGATAGAAGAATCGTAGGTGTAAGTATTCAGCCATTATTCTTGGTTCCACTTCCAAGAATGTCTTGTGGGCTGTTGGCAGGGGGGGTGGTGGGGCAGGCAGGCAGTTTTCTTGCTTGCTTGCTTGTTTTTAGTGAGGCTATGAAAAAAAAGGCTTTTTTTTAACACTGAAGGAAAATTCAGGAGGTAAACATTTCACCGTTATGCCAGGTGCTCAGATGAAATGTAGGTCAGCAGAATTATATATTAACTTCTATGCAAACTTGCAAATAAATAGTTTTTGGTGATGGATGAATCCTTAAATACTGGATGACTATGAGATTTCCCTGTCTGCATCATAAGCAGACTTTTTTTAAAAAAATGTCCTTTGTGCTTCACTTGTTCAAAGCAGTGCTTTAAAAAGTAAAGAGGAAAATAGTATTTGCTACAGTCAGCAGATGGTTGTCACATTTTGTTTTCAGTGCTCTTTACCACTTAATTTTGTTTTGTTGCGACAGGAGAGGTTGCCAGTAAAGCATCTGCTAGAGCTTATGGCTCAGGACCGGAGCTGCTGCTGATGGCATACATTCAGAATAGCACTAATCTAAAATAAATGTTTAATAAGCAGCCTGCAAAAGCACCTGGATTTTTTTTTTTTTAATTCAATTGATGCGGAAGAATCTTGAATAGTTTTAAAAAAAGGATGTAGCTTTGATTTATAAAATGTATGTGGCTTTACATATTAAAAAAATGCGGAGTTTTAAAATCTTCTTTCCTGAATTCCAGCTCATCAAGGTGCTGTACAAGACCAGCCTTACCAGCTGCCAGTGGAAATCGATCCTCTCATAGGTCTGTCACTTCCTTCTCTCTTTGCGATTCATTAAGCTCTGTATGGTGGCCCTGAAGTGTAGATTACGGTTGTTTTTCACTTGCTGGTTGCTGGGAATGGAATTTTCCTGATAAACCATTTGCATGCAAATTGGAATGCAATGAGCTGTGGCTATGCTGGTATTTCATCAACTCCCCCTCGTTGGTTTGCCTAATTTGAACAGGCCTAGGACGCGTGTCAGTGAAAATTAATATGGATGCTGTAATAATGTGTGATTGAGAATGTGCATGAAGTACTGTCAGGATAATATTGGATCTTTTCATCACTCAGACTTGTTGATGAGCAGGAGCGAGGCACGTTATGATGAATTGGTGCACTGGTAATGTGATGGAGCTCCTTTGCTGAGGAAATTTTCATAATAACAGTGGGGTTCTTAACTGCACCGTGTTGTGAAAAATAAAACCATGGTGCCAGGGTTTCATCATTAAAGGAGATCAATCCTTTCTTCAGAGACCTGCTGTTCGGGCTGAGGGGATTAATGTGTATTTGCAAAGCGGTTTCAAAGTTGAAATATATTGCCCACTCCATTTTAGTATTGAGATATTAGTATTCATTTTTCAAGGGTATTGCATCTTTTGATCAGCATCACTACTTAAATTTGTGTATGTTTTTATCTTATTAAAAAGGGGTGGAGGAATGTCTCTCTCTTATTTAATGACTCAGTGTAATAGATTCAATTCATGACTTTTTATTATAGAGGTTTATTAGTTTATATAGAGCTGATTTTTCTATTAGCATGGTTAGAGTTTGGTCAGTTCTTTCATTACAGAGCCAACTTTGGGGAGTGCATACTTGGACTATAATTCAGGAGCCTGTAGCATGGCAAATGGAACCTTAAACGTGATCAAAAAAACCTCAAACAACCTAACCCCAAAATACAAACTAGTTGTAGGACAATTCACAAGTTCACAGGAGCAAGACGACAGGATTTCCTACCCCCACCCCCAATTCTGTAAGACTTCAAACTTAGCTCTGTTTTTTAAACTGTCCATTTCAGGATGGTAGTTTAAGTGAAAAAGAAGTGAAGTGGCCTATTATAGAAGCATCAAAAAATCAGAGCAAAAATGAACTTGCCTGGATAGGTTTGAATGACAGGTCTGTTGGCCAGTGAGAATTAATTTCAAAACTAATACGCATATCACAGTAGGAAGTGCATTGTATCTGTCTGTAGATACAGACTGTTGCTGTGTAGCCATTTTGCTGGGTAAGCTCTATGATAGTTAAATCAGGAACAGTGTGGGCATATTAAACCATTTTATAGACCTGATAAAACTTAAATGTTTTTCCAAAATTTTTAAAATCAATTTCCATCTGAATAATGCAATACTTAGAATTTATAATGAGGAGGACATGTGCTGTAACTCTCCTTTCCTTCCTGAAATAGACTTTATCCAAAAAGTGTTTGGAGCAGGAAATGTATGTTCTGCTTTAAAACCTTCTATCAAGTAGATCTTAAAAATACAAATAAACATCACAGAAAAAAAAAAACCAAACCAAAATCACATCGGGCCTGTCTGATGATTTTTCTAGATACTGTGAAGAACATTAGGAAGGAAATAAAATTCTTACTTTCATTTGCATTTTTCATAATTTTAAAATCATAATTCCATTTTCAGGCTTGCCTTTAATTTACAAAATACTTTGACTTTTGTTTGGTGTAAACACCTTTAAAATCAATGTTCACAGTTCTGAAAAATGGTTTAATAGTATCTTCATACAATAGACCTCAAATCAGCCTTGTGATTACATTGGACATAGTTTAAAAGGTTTAAGGCTTTCTTTGTCACTGTTAAGTAGCATCATTGGGTACAAGCAAGTAATTATGTAGATAATATTAAAGGTTTTTAATTGTGGCTAGACACATTTACCTAGAAATGGCACCTAAGAGGACCACAAAATTACACTTTTATGATTATAGCAGGAATCTTGTTGCTGTCTTGGCCATAAGGAGGGAT